GGAAACCGAGAAACCGAGACTCCACACTTTGCATGCCCATCTCCTCGGTCAGACTCGCTGTGCGGGAGCATACGGTACTTGGACACCTTGACGCGCCTTGCGCTGCTGCTCCGCCTGCAAATAGGCCCGTGCGCCCGCGAAAACCATGGGCGATCATGGCGCCGTGGCCGCCAAACTCCTCCACCTCGCATGCACGCGCGCCTGCATGTGCCCTGCGAGTCAAGCGACACTTCAGCCCGCCCGTCAGCGCACCACGGCTGCGAGGAGCACATTCACCCCGAAATAGCTGCTTGCGTTAGCCTCGTCCTCATCTCACCAACTGCAGGCAACCACCCGCGCGCGCGCGCCTCAGGAACCGGCCAAGGCACCGGATAATGCGTGGGTAAAAAGACGTTTCTGACATGTTTCCGTCCGAAAGCATGTCCTGGAAATTTCCGAACGGGGTGAGAGTTTCTTCGCCCCACGCGCCCGTCTTGCCCGTTTGAGGATGTAGACGTCACGGTGCAGACGTTGCGATATTGCATTGCGGGCGAGAATTTGAGAAAAGAGAGAGATGACTTACACTGAGGCTGCCGCAGCCCACTCACGCGTAGACAGCATGTTCCTGAGCTGAGGGGTCGACGTGACCATCTTTAGCTCCGCACCAACGATAAGCACGATAACGAGGAGCCGTCCGAGCAAGCTGGGGACTATCGCAAACGCCATGAGGGGTAGTACCAGGGTTAGTGGAAACCATATTGCTGACTGATCTTGGCCGGCAGCCGGAGCTGCCGTGCTGGGAGGAGCAGAAGAGGAGGAGGAAGAAGAAGAAGGAACTTTCCGCGGAAGAGTCACTAGGTCGGCGTCTTCCTCGAGAAATTGCGATTCCTCCTCATTAATCGGGTCATGCTCATCCATCCACTCGCGATAGGCTGTGATATCCTCCGCAGACGCGGGATCGAGACTTTTGGAGAGCTTGCTAAACGAAGATAAAGCCTTGTCTGTACCGAGTCAGCGGAACACTCTTGATCGGTAGCAGCGACGATCCCCATGTTGACATGGCGTTCCGACTCGTTGCATCCGGCTTAGCCACAACTTACTGTATTGCTCTAGCTTCTGGTAGATGCGCCCCAGGAGTTCGGTCCTCTTGAAGTGCATTTCACTTCCGTAGCGTGCGTCACCCCGCCGCGACGCAGGGTACGCGTACCCTGACGCATCTCGAGGCGACATCTGGGCGATGCATTCGTCTAGGTGACGCAGCTCTTCCTCGAGTTCGCACGTTTCGTCCTGGAGATGCAGCAAGACTCGGTGGTTTAGATGCTCAAACTTTCGGTACATGGGCACGAGATTCTTCCGGCCGTGAGAGCTGGGCTGTGACGATCCGCTAAGCTCGTTGGCGAGGAGTTCATATCCCACCACCGTTTCTCGGGTCTGGTCGGGCAGTGGCGCGTGCTGTTGATAGAGTGGCGGCTGCCCTGGATGTGGGGTGAAAGGTGGCGGCACGTGCTGGAGCTGGCCGTCAGCTGGCCGTATCGATAGTGGATGCGCATGCACTGCTTCCGGGGACTGATGAGGCGCATATCCTATGGCTAGCGGAGCTGGGAATGAAGGCATAGGTGCCCATGCTGGTGGAGAACTGATTGCCGCAGGCACTGGAGCCGGAGATGCACCAGAAAAGCCTTGCTGGTTGTACATCGGCATCGGTGGATAACCGTAGGGGTGTTGTTCTGCGCCATATTGGTAGTCTCCGTACGGCTGTGGCCTTTGGAAGATGTGGCTAGCAAGTTCGCGTTCCTGCTGCTTGAGACGTCTGGCGTGCGGATCACTCTGATGAGACGTCGTCGACGGAGCGCGAGGAGGGGTCGTTACTGCCGGCTGTTTGTTGGGGATCTGGTTTCCTTGATTAACTTCCTCATCGCTCTCTGACCCACTTTCACTCTCCTCTTCACTGCCCTCTTCTTGGTTGGCTTCGACGTCATCTCCAGGGCCATGCACAAAGCTACTGGCGTACAACGGCTTCTTGAATGATCGATACTCCTGGATGGGAGGGTGGGATGATGTCTGGAGGGACCGCCGCGTGGAGGCTGGTGAGGTCATGGCGGAGTCAGGATGCTGTGAGTCTGCTGCTACAGACGATCTTCCATCGTCATGCTGAGTGTCACCTGACGAGGAAGACGATGACGAGGCAATAGTCGATGGAGGCATAGCCTGAAGGTCCGTAGGCGTAGGACTTCCAGGCGTGTCTTCAGATTGTAGAAACTGAAACACTCCCGCTTGGGTGGCATCCATGTTGCTGAATGTGATGCTTTGCATCGCCGTTGGCGCGGGCGTACTCTGGCTTTCTTCAGATTCTTGGTACTCGGCGACTTGGCTATAACCGCCGTACGGTCTCTGCATCACCGTGGAGTTACTGCCACCTGAAGCATCTGACTGTTGCGTCACACTCGAGACCAGAGAGGGATCTGACATGTTGGCCATATTCCCAGCATGCCGTTGCAGAGAGCTGTGTTTACCACGTGCGTGTGAGCGTTTCGCGGCGTCGTCCCCCGTATGCCTGCGGCGCAGAACCCGCGGATCGACCGGAGTACCAACGGCAGAGCTCCCTCGTCGTCTTGAGCGTGTGCTGACCTTGCTCTTGCTTTCTCTTATTTGACCGAGCCGGGGCATGTAGCCGATGGTACTGCCTTCCTCATCCAACTCTTCCTGTTTGGCTTGCGAATTCGATCCAGGGTCGGTATGGTGTGAGTCGCGTCTTAGAAGCTTCTTCAAAGTGTTGCGAGGCTGTTTAGATCTCTGCTCGCTCTCTTCATGGTCGTCGCCGCGTGGCGGCGAGGCCGAAGGTGGAGTACCCTTGGTGCCCGAACTGGTGCGTGATGGACGACGTCTAGTGTGTGGTGCACTAGTAGCTGAACTCGTGCCTATGTCATGGAGGCCGTCGTAGTGGTATTTCGGATTGCCTGTGGCAGGACTGCGCTGTCGAGGAGGTGAACCTGCGCCCTCAAAGGCTGCTGCAGTATGATCCGACTAGGTACCCGAGTATCTACGTCAGTTTCCAAAAGCAAGCGTGTAGTTCAGGGCAGAGAGAGAGAGGCAAAGAGCGTGTTTATATTGTCTACCCACCATGCTACGTATTTTTTACAGGGTCCAGCTGTGTAAGCAGAGCGGTGGCGCTTGCGTCAATAAGATCTGGTACTGGGGGGTGTGCGATGGCGCGGGTGCGGGGGAGTGTAGGTGATGGGGTGTGCGGGCAAAAAAAGATGAATATAGACAGCCCGTGACGTTTTCGTGCGGATTCCTTGCATGCTGAAGCGATTACAAGCACACGTTGTACGACTCTAGAGGCTGAACGGCACAAGGCTCGCAAATCGTGTGGATGTCGTGGTACGCCTCAAGGCCTGCTGAATCTGTACCCTGGTGTGCGCCATAATCACGTCGCAATGCGGTAGGTTAGAACGTGGAATGGGGAAGACAAAGAGAACGCATGTTGAACTGGAAGAAGCAACGACACACGAGGAATATTGTACAGCCACTCAGTCACCGCCTTGTGCATGCATGCTGCGAGTTAACGTTGGCAGAGCTGACCGGGTGTGCACCGGAAGTGCCGCGCGTGTACCCAATGACGTCCCGTTGAGCCCGTCAAGCGATCGAATACCCCACTATGTGGGCCCCCCATCACCGCGTGCCCTCTCTTCCTCCACGCTTCCACTGTGTGTCTAATCTGTCGACCCGCATCGTGATGATGCATTTGCATGCCAAACTCTGTCCAGTGGTGAAGCATTTCGCTATTGTTTCGTGGGCGGTTCGTTAACAAGCCCATGGTCCTCCGCTGCTCAGTCACTGCCACGTCAACAAGCTACTGCAACCCCGAACCAGGATTGTCAAGGTGAGCAGTGCAGTTCTGCTATCTGGTTCACTCCACTGCTGGCTCTCGCGTTTCGTATCTCGACCCTTCCCCGTGCGAGGGATCCTAGCATAGATACAAGCTTGGGATTCTAGAAGGAGGGCTTGCTCCACGCGCCAAGTTTCAACTTGTCGAGGCGAGTAGATTCGGAGACCGACGAACTTATGCATGACGTCTTTGGCGTTTCGACGGTATGTCGATTTTACGACAACAAAAATAGCTATGGGTCGAGGACTTCGTCTAGTACTTTTGATGCACGTTGTGTATGAATCGATGCGCAGCTGCTGATGGCAGTCCACGATGGAGCGAGAGATGATCCCGAAGGACGGCAAATACCACGCCCATGTTCAACTCTTCCAGTGGATGTTTGATGCCGGTGCCCAAATCTTTCCTCTCCGACTCTTGTTGTTTGGGGCCTATAGATAAGATATTGAATTGAGCAAGGAAACAGTGATAAAAGCATCTTTACCACTCACGTCTTCGACATGCCAAACATGCCTTTGGCCACACATAACAATGGCCTCTCCTCCAGGTCCATCTCGTCGAATATGCTGACCCAAGCCCAGTTCATACGATGGCTGATGTTGAAACGAACCCCGCGATTTTTGACTGCCTGACAGGAGCTGAACTTACGATAAAGTTCCGTAGTAACATCATCCACCATAGTGCTGTACGCAAGCATTGTAGCCAAGAGCAGGGGAGACTTCGACGCCACGAATATGTAACGCGTATACCGTCGATCTTGATCGACAAATCTTATTCTTAGAAGTTTCACCCATGCATCTATAGTATTGGACTTATTGCTATGCTGAAGATACGGTTGGACAAACGTGAGACTAAACATTGTTGGAAGTAAGTAAAAGAGTGGCAGACTATGAAGTGTGATGTGCGCCAACCATTGGATGAGGAGACATTCCAGGGAAGGTAGAGGTGGCATACGAGATCCCAGCGGGTGATCGATCCCGGGTACGAGAGAATAACTATGATATTCCTATTCACCTGGCCGTCCCAAATAACAATACGAAGATGCCCCTCTCTTGGCTTTTCGAGCTCAATCAAACTAATAGATTCTGGGTATCTCACACTCCTGTGTCTACATCGTCTACGTCGCGTACAAGCCTCACGACTCCTCGCTCACACTTCGGCTCACTTCCCTTACGACAAAAGCATCAGGGTCGACCGGTATTGCCTTCAAGTCCACCTTGTGAGTATCTGCCCAAGCCCGTACTCTGGCCTTGTTGATGACAGCGTCAGCACCTCCTTTCTTCTTCTGCTCCAGCACGTCCATAGCCTGTAATGTCGCGATGATATCTTCGGGCACAATGTACGTCTTCTCGCGCAGATCTTGCACTGTAAGTGTTTTCTTAGAAGGGCAAGCCAGGATCGTCCGAGCGAGCGTTTGCGACCAGTAATGTATGTATGCGATGCGACCGAGATCCGACAGCGCTGTAGTAGTAGTAGTAGTAGAGTTAGCAAAGGTACCATGCACAGACAAAACGTTAACCTACGTTTCTCAGGCCCACCCAGCCTCTCTTCCCGTCTACTCATCTCATAGCTCGCGCCCATGAGTATCTGCCCCAGTCCTTGTTTTTGCCACGGCGGAAATACCAGGATGCATGCGAGATTGTTGTTGTCCCAGCTCATCTTCTCTTTGCTGAAGAAGCCGACCACCTGCCCCTGCGCACCGACTCCACTCGCCTCTGCATCGTCGCCGAAACTGGTATTCGGTATCTCTGGTGTGGGGTTGTGCGCGACGAGGAGGTAGTAAAGGAATGTCGTTACATCGTAGAAGACGGACTTGGTATCGAGGAAGAGCTTGGCGAAGAGCGATAGGTTCTGTGCGTAGAGCTTGTGCTTCTCGCCGTCGATCTCGTATAGCGAGTAGTTATCCTTCGTGTAGACGTTGACGCCCGGCGGGGGTGTATTGCGCAGAGGACATGCTTTCTGCCACTTATCAGCTTCCTAATCTAACCCTCATACAGTGTTTGTCCATCCGAAAGCTTACCAAATGCCCAATAAACCCGACCAATTCTTTGCTATACTTGAAGCACCATTGGCACACATACAGCCGCTCTACGCGTCGGCCTACAAGCTCCTCCGGGTAGAAAGACGGGTACCAGGGCTGGATGAGCAGCGAGCCGAAGACGACTTCGAGGACGTTGGGGCCGGACGGCGGTTTCTGCGATGGCTTCAAGGCAGGCGTGGAGGGCGTCGAGGTCATGGAGGCTACATCGGGGGCCATTGGGCTGGCACTGTGACGACGCGTCGAGGGGCCGCCGGCACATGCGTGTGGGGAAGAGAAGAGCTTGGGCCGGGTTGTCAGATGGGGTTAGCGCGACGCGAGGGCACGTGGGTGATGGGGATCTGCCGTAGACACAACCTGGGAACGGACCCGTTCGCCATCACACCTACGACACTTCAAGTCTTTCTTGAATCAGACGATTTTTCCATCACAACGAGCAATAGTGCCTTCATCTCTCCACTGCATCTGCTCGACAGCGCCCGCGACAAGCATGAACGAACGTACTTAACGAAGAGGACTATATCGTCATTCAAGCATGCAGAGGCAGTAGCGCAACATTTGTACATTTCCTGCGGCCACGTTCAGCACATCTTGCGTGCTTGTCAACTCCAAACGTCTCTCAGTCTCCGTCATCATTAGCTATCACAAAGCCCGATACCCTGCCACCTTTGACCTTCCAACCCCTCTCATGTTCAGCTCCTTCCTGCTCATCCTCCGAGGGCTACTCGAACTACAATATCATGCCCTATCCAACCTTCATCTCCACACTGGTATCGCTTTTCGTACGATGACTACGACCTGGGTCCTCTTCGCAGCCTCGAAACGGCAGTATATGTTCGTTGCTGATAACGTCTGGCTTCAGCGAGTTCAACCCAGGAAGACGCGTTCGGAGTATGGCCTGCGCGATTTTCTTCATCTAGCACAACTCAGTATGTAGCAGCATCTACGTTTCGTTATGTTGTTTACCTGCATCTCCATGCCCGACTTTCCTCGAGCTTCGATACCTGATTGAACCCTTTCCCATGTGGTATCGAAATGCAAAACCGACCACAGCAAACAAGATGGTGAGGAGTACACCGAGAAGAGTAAAAATGGCTTCTTTCGACCAGCCGGGTGTAGAGGCCGTGTTGTATAATGCAGTATCTGTCAAGATTCTGTTAGTGCATGGCCGTGATGCATTAAGACAGGAAAGGCTACCATTACTTCCCATTGTCGGTCTACTCGTCGACAATCGGCCAAAAGGTCTGAGATATGATCGACTGTTAACCTACTGTTGCTGATTTATTAGCTCGGGGGACCAGCGAAGATGAACGATTTGTTCATTCTCCGGAGGATCCATCTTTCGTTTATGGCCCAGGATGGACTGCTTGTAAGATGCGCAGAAAGCACAGGCCCTACTGAATGCTCCCGTCACAGAGCCTCTGGTCTCGGGCGATTGGGTGCGGCGTACAGGACGCTAGTGTAATTAGGCCTGATGGCGCAGAACCAAGCGAATGAAAGAAGGCGTAAGTGACAGGGACCGAGGGAGAGACACGAACTAATGCAAAGACAGGGATGCGGATAGAAGGAGCTGGGACGCTTAACGAAGGGACTGATGCAAAGACAGGGGCCGAGGCAAAAATGTTTGACGTCAGGCACAGGTTTGTGTATTTCCCCCGTCGCCGCTTTTGCGTGGAGTACACTTGCAGCCTGGTATTAGAAGCCAGGAGTACGGGATGTGTACCTATCTCGCCAATGAGACTCTCCGTGGCCAGGAGACGCTGCATGGTACCGGTCAACTGCTGTCGCCGTTGGTGCACATCACGACATTGCAATGTAACGCGAGCACCCAAGATTTGATATTAGTCAATCGTCCACAGACGGTTTTGGACAATCCACTACGCGCAGCTATACATGATCACGTAAGGAAGATAACCCAGTCGCTGTTAACAGATGCGCGTCATCAACGAAAAGTCACGCCTTTTCGGTCTTCACGGCCTTAGTGAACGACTAACTAGCAGAATGAATAGAGTACGCCTTTAAGTCAGACTGTAGTCTAGTCCTTCGGGTAGGTCATTGAGATAGTACCTTAGTATACTGTATAATTGCGATAGCTTACATTGCGCATTGTGTCCAATAATCAGTGCATAGGTATCGATGTATGTTTGAGGGAAGAAGGGGTTCATTGGATCAGCCACCGCCCTTGGGTGACGGTTATCGCAGCCTCAGCCTTGTGGTTGTAGTCTCACCATCTGCAGCATCCTAGCTGACACGCGATCTGGGCTCCACAATTAACAGGCCCTCCAATCAACTATGTTGTTTTCTGCTTCGAAACGCACGTCTAAGTGACAGCCGTTTCTCCTAGCGTAATTACGCACGAATGCTTCGGGACTCAGACCCGGATGCATCATAGATCCAACCACTCGGAAGCTTGGAGGATGCTGGAAACTGCAAAACCGGTGAATCTTTGGTAACACCGTCATGCGCCTCCTAACTTGTCGGCGTCAGGAGGGTTAAAAACTTCTGATAATGATTGGCTGTTCACTTGTAAGGCTGATTTTTTCCGCACTTCGTTGCGTGGGTTTTCTGCACCCAAACGCGCTTTGATAGTATTAGAAAACTTGCGTTACTTTCGGCATACCATGTTCCTCTTGCGTTCGCTTGTCGGTTGTCGCATAGGAAATTTAGTGAAGAATAGATCACCTGTAGTGGATGTTGAGAACCCGAAGCAGGATAGGACGGCAGTCTGAGTCAAAGGCGCACTCTATTCATTCTGAAAGTTGAGATACTGGTTTTCAACGGTGTATCACTAACGAAAACGCCGGGTTTTCTCGACACTCACAGCCTTAGTCAAGATTAGCCAACGACCAGACTGTGAGTTTTCAAGGTCCACGTTCCAGTTGGCTCGCAATATTTCACTCAGCTCAGGCGCAACATTTCGCTCTAATTTTACCAATTGGCGGTGAGTTATTGCGTAGGTTGCAACTCTCTTTGGCTGGGCGCTTAGGTAAAGCCCATGATCCAGTGGACTACCGAGCATGAAGCCATGGTCGTAAGCAAATAGTTTGGAGATGCGCTGCATGAACAAGCGAAGATTCTGAGGATGATAGATCATTTTACATACTCTGTCTGCCAACCACCGTGTTCGACACATCCACTCTCTCAACCATCTCATCCCCATCTCCCAAACCTACGAAGTACAGCTCTGCCTCCACCAAATCCCCGCAATACTAACATCCAGATTACACTGCTCCCCCGGCGGCACAATCCAGCACTGCAACGCATCATTCGCCGCGGGGCTCTTGATCTTAACAACCACATCACACCGCAAATGGTTCACCATGCCGGCAAACGTCTCAGGCCCATACTTCCCGTCTTTGAAGGCGACTGGGAATTGCGCTTGGTTGTGCTCCGGGTCGTTGTGCCCGTTGGATTGCACGGCGATGTCGGGCCCGTTGGGGGCAGAGCACTTGGAGGTTTGGTAACAGGCGAGCGTGGTTGTGGCACTGGCGAGGAGGAGGGGGAGGGTTTGGAAGCGCATTTTGGTGAGGGATGGGTGCTGGATGGGGAGGGTTAGTGGTGGGAGGAGGGAAAATGGGGTAGTAGTACTTTTTGGGTTTGCGTTGGAGTGAGGGAGGGGTGTTGTTTTGGGGAGCGTGGGCGTTGTGATGCTGGTGGATGCAGATGCTGGACCTGTTCGATGAGTTTAAAGAGATGGTCAGGTCGGGTCTTCTATACACATCGCTCGTGTTTGGTGAGCATACATCTTTGTATAGTAATAAGGGAGGGAAGTTAGTCCGGTGTAAAGTTTATCGATGACCTTACACATTCGTGTACGTCCGCCTCACCGGACTAACACAACACCTCCGCGACAGTGCACGACTAGCTATCCGCCGATAGGATCAATAGGATGTAGAGCAGGGCTTCATTCAGAGAGTCTATAATTTACCTCACAAGGAGACGAGGTGTAAGCATACCTACGCCAGTCTGCACTAGGTCGAACTAGAATCCGGAGGCATCTCCGGGCTTACACCCCCGGTGATGCCGCTTCAACTCTACAAACGTTTACTACCATGCCAACTCATACGAGAATGTGGTTTGAAGTCAGACCGCTTTTCGGCATCTTTTGCGATCGCGAAAGTTTGTTGCGCACGGCGAAGAGATCGAGGTAGACACCCGGAGTAAATCACTGTACACTACATCCTTAGCGTAAACAACGGCGTATACTCGTCTGAGGTCTAGTCTGACCGGCGCAAGGCTGTCATACACCGCTACGCCACAGAACCTCGAAGATACTAAAGCACGCGTACGACGATCAGTCATCTTCGTATTATCCCAGCAAAGCCGCGCGGTATACCCTGAAGTCTTACCGGCAAAGAACCCACCAAGCTTCCCCCTACCATCCCTCACACCAACGTGGCGCTATATACCTTGAAGTCTTACCGGCAAAGAACCCATCCAACTTCCCCCCAAAATCCCCCACACCAACGTCGCGCTGCATACCCCCTCAACCCTTACCCTTAAAAAACCCATCCAACCTCCCCCCAACATCCCCCACCCCCAACCCGCCCGTCAAACTCCCCTGAATCCACTTCGGCAACTTATCCTGAACCCGCCTACTCCCATACCGTCTATCCAACATCAGTATCGCCGCATAATCGCCCTTGTGACGAATCGCCCTGCCCACACACTGATTAACCGCGCGCATACAGACGTTCTCGTAGAATTCGCGTGCAGCAGCCTTGCCATCACCACCACCACCACCACCACCACCACCGCTTTTCGCTTGTGTTTTAGCGGCGATATACTGCATTTTCGCCTTCCATTCTGCAGAATGTGGATTAGGAAACGGGAGACCAACAACAACGACGCCGCGGCCGAGTGCGTCGCTGAAATTAATGCCTTCGGAGAGAGTGCCGCCGATTACGGCGAAGAGGAGGGCGCCGCGGCCGGAGCCGGATGCGATTGCTGCGCTGTAGGCTGTGAGGACGGAGTCTGCGGTTGCTTCTTTGGATATTGGTGGTGGCTGGGTAGACGGCTGTTGCTGGCTGCGCTGCTCAAGGAAAACGGGCTTGGTTTGTGTGAATTTGTCCCAGAAAGTGGATGTGAATGTGGATGTGGATGTGGATGTTAAAGGCGCGGGCTTGATGCGCTTCCACGCGACGATGCAAGCGTCGAGGAAGGCGTAGCTGGGGAAGAAGACGACCACGCCATCGGGGATGTGCTGCGCAAATGTCAAG